AAGCTGCAGTTCGTGTGCTTTCTGGAGTACTAAAGGGGCACTGTGCCATTGCGCGTATGCTCCAACGGTGGCGAATTCCAATAAGTGGATTATGCAGGAGTTGCTAAGATGAAGAGGAGGTAAAATCTATCAACCACTTCCTACGTCTCTGTCAAGGACTTCAAACAAGGCTACTTTAACGTCTTGGGGATCCTTATTTTATTGGCTTGGAAGAGATAACGAAAGCAAACTTATCGGATCTCCTCAACTTCATCTGGAAAACCAAATGGTTTAACAAGGATAACAAAGATTAGCAACTCGCATCTCTTGGTAAAATTTTTTGAGGGCATCCCAATGGGCAATATATGTCTTCGAGTAGAAGTGCTGACAACGGTCAGCACGTGCCTTCCGAACATAACCTAACCTAGTGTGGGTTAAAATTTTCGCACATATGCTCACTATAAAAATGTATATATCTCGTACAAATCATCTGAGTTATATGTAAATTGATCTCTTAAAATATACATTTTTAGTAAGTACATGATTTTCGCCATCCATCGAGAATCTTAGATGGCACCTGGGCGCCACAGGTAACCAGGTAACTACTACAAAATATGTATAGCGTAGCGATCCGAAACCTTGCATTTGTCAAGGGCGGAAACTAAACTAGGAGTGATAAATTGAATCGTTCTGTCTGCGTTATCCCAATATTGTTGAACTGTGACTAAAGATTCAGCTTCCATTTTGAGACAATTTCTTCATCGAATTCATTCCAATTAAAATCAATGAAATTTTTAGCCGCTCTTGCTTCGTTTGCTAAAAGGATATTAACTTCAGTCATACTCCCTGTACGACCATTTTCTCTTTGCTTACGAAAAAATTCTTGTTTTGACTACATTTTCAATTCTACTTAAATATCTATATAAATTATTAAGTAGAAATGTATTATTTTTATTTTTTATTTATGTTTCTTCCGTTTCTTGTAAACATTTGCGATTGCATTGTGCATGCCAGCTAAAAGGTATGAAATAGAAAACAGAGCACAGTCGCTCAACTAATTATTGTGTTTTGCGCATAATTCTTAACCGATTTTGCTCATCAGTATCTTATTAAAAAGATATTTTAATTATCTATCAAATGAGTATATATTAATAACTGTTGAAATAAGATAAAAGATAAAAAATGACCTTGAAATGAAAAATTTCTGTTTTTTGTACTGAAAACCCAACTTTGCTCGAGTGGCGCAACGTCATTTTTAATCCTATTGTTCCAAAACTTTGGGAATATCATTTTTAAGGTCAATGGCCTATTCCTAGGGGGTGCGCTCATTAAAAATCGCATTTTTGTTTTTCTGAGCCACCCTAGTAATGCACTCTTATTTGTCATCAAAGCAGTAGATACCTGTTACCAACAAGCACTTTGTAATGATGGAAATTTACAGAAAATTTCCACCTACATAAACGTGCACTAAAAACAATAACAACACGAACTAAAAAATACCAATACAACACAGTTTTTTTTATAAAACAACACATTTTCATATTTATATTTAAATTTGGAAAAAGTGGTCTCACTGGTAATAAATGTTGCAAATATCTGGAATTAAATAGATTGATTAATATTTGAAATATTTATTCAAAACAATTTACCAAAATCCAGCCTGCTTGCAAGCCGTAGTAACACCTCAAAGTAATCTGAAATGATATTGAAATAAAATATAAAAATATAATTAAATAAATGAATAATAAACTCACCTTATTTATTTGTTAATTATATTTTTTATTTTTTAAATTTAATAAGTATTTGAACTTTTAATATTTTATTTTATTATAACAAATAAAATAAATAAAACCACCACCGACCGATGTAGTTTTAAAACACGTAAGAATCAAAACAAAACAGCAGAATAGCGAAATAAGAAAACAAGAACTGTCAAAAATATTCGCCGTAAGAGAAGCTCAAAGAGAAGTTAAATGCACAAGCTGAGTACCGCACACAACATGAATTAGAAAATCAGAACGGCAAAAGTAAACTAGAATTACGTGAGATCAGCTGTAAATAAAAATGATACGCTACGAGAAAGCTCGTTCGAATGTGTATATAAGATGCGCGTTTTACTTACGCTAACACTTGGTTTATAATTTCTTAGGCACACCTAAGAATAGCAAGTCAAACATAAGAATACTTTCTATAGCAGCAGTGTTCAACGAAGGAATAATCATATAGAATTTCAAAGGCACGACAGGTGGAATAACGTCGACTGAGTCAAAAGTGATTTCTCATTATAAACATAAGAATACTTTCTATAGCAGAAGTGTTCAACGAAAGAATAATCATATAAAATTACAAAGACACGACAGGCGGAATAACGTCGATTGAGTCAAAAGTGATTTCTCATAATAAACATAAAAATACTTTCTATAGCAGAAGTGTTCAACGAAGGAATAATCATATAAAATTACAAAGACACAACAGGCGGTATAACGTCGACTGAGTCTAAAGTATTCACTAACCAATTCAATTCTAATAACATTTCTATAGATAGCCCAGAAGAAGAATCCTTCTAGAGGATCAGCAAGCGCCTACAAAGAATTCGTATCGAAGACATCTAGGACATCTCTACCGTCATAAACAAATTCTTTTAAATACACCTTTCTGTTCTAAATTTTCCTACGTAAATATTCTGTATGAAATTGTAAGTAACTAAACTTAATGAACTTTACTTAATAAAAGTATTTAAATAAAACAAACTAAAAAAGGAATTGATCGAAAACTATTTAATTTAATAGTTTTTTCAGTTCTTTGATTTTATATAAAGATAGTAAAATCCAAATGCACCTTTTTTGTTGAGAGGTTCACGTACCACTGATTTATTCTTAAAACATATTATTCTATAATAGCAAAAACAAAATAAATGGGAAGCTGCGGCTATTAAAAGCTTTTTTTTGGTTGTAAATAAATTTTAAATAATTGAAATTAAAATAAGTATAAGAGTACCCAATTGACTTAACATACCGGCCCCCATTGAGACCGTCAGGTTCAATTAATAGGTAATACAGCTAGCTTCGTAATTGGCCGCCGAAACACTACATCTGCCACACGTACGTGTCCGTCAGACCTGGAATTAACCTTTACTACTCGGCCTGTTAACCAATGCATCGGCGGTAAATTATCTTCAGCAATCAATACTAAGTCGCCTATTTGAACGTTATCGTTTGGCTTTTTCCACCGGTATCGCTGTTGTAATTCCTTTATATACTCACGTTGCCATCGTTTCCAAAATGCTGCTTTTGTTGCCATTATCCGATCTGCCGGTAGATTGCCCATTATAGGTTTGTAACGGAAGCAGTGTGTGCACTGGTTTACCACTGTTCGAGCCAATGACCGGCAATTTATAATCCAAAATTGTTGTTGTATGAAAGCAACAAGCGCACGTGGACCAGCGTGATAATTAATTCGATGTATATGCATGACCATCAGCTTAACAAATTGGTCCTCTTTTGGTAATAGAAGTGGCCATTTCGTAGAAGGTGAGATGTTGGCATTCTTCAAACGACCACCTACCCTCATTAAAGTAAGGCTACCAGATGTTTCTAGGAATGGAGCCAATAAGGCTAATTTACTCCGTAGTTGCTTTGAGTTGTGTAAAAGTACTATATTCTTGTGAAAATAGTGTTGTTGAATAAGATATACAATATGGAACAGAGCGTGTTGTATTTCATCTACCACGAATAATGATTGAATTTGTGCCTCGTGCTTGAGGTGCCCTCTTAGCATCAGCGCAATCACACGTATACATTTGTTATAATTGCTTATCTGATAAAGTCTCTGTAGCAAATACGTAGGCTTGACATCTTCCAAAATGCACACTAGTTTGCGAATTTCTAACTTGCGTTCGTCAACTGTTAGTTGATTTATTGAATGTTCTGGCCAGTTTGGCAACGGCAACATTAAAAATGAAGGTCCTTTGAACCAATTTGATGACAGTAATTCTGGGATGGTACACCCTCTAGAAACGAGATCAGCTGGATTCTGATCGGTTGGTACATGGCGCCAAAATGCATTTACCGACCATTCTTGAACGTCAGCAACTCGATTACCAACAAAGGTCGCTAGTGTTGAAGAATGAGAACTAATCCAATGTAAAGTAATCTGTGAATCAGACCAAAAGTATATGTTATTAATATAATATAATAAATTATCTTTAATCTTGTTCCAGCATCCAGCAAGAAGATGGGCGGCACACAATTCAAGACGTGGTAATGATCTTGCTTTCACAGGAGCAACTCGGGATTTGGAAGTTAATAAATGAACACTAACATTGCCAAAATTATCTTGACAACGTAATAGATACAACATCCGTATGCTCTAATTGATGCGTCGCTGAAGCCATGTACTTGCATGTTAATTGAGTTCTTGATTCGAGTGAAGCTAGGAATTTTAAGAAGTACCACTTGATGCAAATCAGCAAGAATTCTGTTCCATATTGTGTAAATTTCTTGAGGTACGGATTCATCCCAATCACATCCAATTAACCATAGTTGCTGTAACAAAATCTTAGCTTTGATGATAAGTGGACTAATTAGACCCAAAGGATCATATAAAGATGATGCTAATGACAAAATGTTTCGTTTAGTATGACTTGCTGGTATATTGGTTGATTGAAAAGTGAAGCAAAGATAGTCTTCTGTCGTATTCCATAACATTCCAAGTGGGCATGCCATATCTCTTGCAGTCTCACTATCTGTAAGTTTAACATTTGGTGCAGTGATGTTAACATTGTTGCTATTCCACTTTGTTAACGATAAGTTGTAAAAATCCAATATTTCGGTAGTTTCATTTTTGATGGCTTGCAATGTCTCCAAGTCATCTGCTCCTGAGATCATGTCATCGACATAAAAATCCCTTTTTAATATCATTTTACCTGTTTCTTTACGGTAAGGATAGTTATCTGCAATGTAGTGTAAGCACCGGGTTGCAAGAAATGGCGCAGAACTCGTACCATATATAACAGTATTCAGTTAATAAACTGAAATATTTTGCGATTTATGCTCAAGCCACAAAATTAGTTGAAAATTGCGATCACTTGGATGTAGCCAAAACTGTCTATACATTATTGTTATGTCAGCCGTTATTCCATATTGATATAATCGAAATCTTAATAATGTTATTACAAGTTCATTTTGGATTGTAGGGCCCACCATTAATAACTCATTTAATGACACTTGTGATGATGTACGAACTGAAGCATCAAAAACTACACGTAATTTAGTAGTTGTGCTATCTGGTTTAATTACATAATGATGTGGGATAAAATAGTGGGGAGAATTTAAATCCAAATCCTTAACCATCGACATATGTCCGAGATTTTCGTAATCTTGCATAAATTTCACATATTCCAATTTTAACTCAATATTGGAGTCAAGTCTTCTTTCCATAGATAAAAATCTTCTTAATGCAATTTTCTGAGAATTTCCAAGAGTACTTGTGTCGCCTTTGAATGGCAACCTTGTCATAATTCGGCCATCGTTACTGAGAGCTACAGTTTTTTGAAAGTTGGTTTCGCATTGCTGTTCTTCTACTGACCATACTGATGGTGGATGAACTGGTTCCTCTATCTGCCACAACCGTTCCAAGTTCGCATTAATTGTATCCAAGCTGACAACACAATGGGATGAAACAATTTTGGAATCTTTAGTAGAACAATGTTTTCCTGAAATAATCCAGCCGAACAAAGTTTTTTGTAAAGTCGGTAAATTCTCACCAAGTTTTATTTGGCCTACTGCTAGCAGTGAAAAGAAAGCTTCTGCACCAAGTAACATATCAATTTTTTGGCGTTTGTAAAATGTCGGATCAGCTAATTGAAGATTTTCAGGAATTTGCAACTCTTCTAACGACAGTGTTTCATTAGGGTGATATCCAGAAATTCTTTTGGTAACGAGAAACTCAAGTACTGCTTCAAAACTGTTTAACCTTGATCGTATCGTGCTTATTGTTTTATGTTTAATATTTACTGATGCAGCTCCTGCACCAACAAGGCTGTTTTCACTTCGTGACTTTTTTAGATGAAGTGCATTACACATCGATTCCGATATTAAATTGACCTGCGAGCATGAATCTAATAACACTCTACAGAGTTGAAAAGTACCAGGTGCATCTTTAACTAACACCATTGCTGTTGCCAAAAGCACCACTGATTTTACCCGAGCAGAAGTTTCGTCTGGAACTAGTGCATTAGTGTGTACATGACTTAGAGGTGATATTGTTTGCTCACACAAAGGTTCCATATTAGATGATGCACCAGTATTATGTAAAAGTGAATGATGTCGTTTTTTGCACATTCGGCATGAATACGTTGATGACATTGTCCTTCCATTGTCCAATGTGATCTTTCCGGAGACAATTAAAGCATAGTTGAATTTGCTTCGCCTGTTGACATCGATTTTCAACTGATAGAGCTAAAAAATTTGGACAATTAGTAATATAATGACCAGGTTTTAAACAATATACACAATGAATCTGACTTGTAGACTTTTGTTTCGTCATTAAGAAAGGTTTGAAAGGTTTGTGCTTGAAAGGTTTACGAACACTTGTATGCTGCAACTCTTGGTTGATTGTAGTCTTTGGCTTGGCCTTTGCTAGTACCATTAATTGTTGACATCGCCTGTCAAACATCTTGCAACATTCCAGCCAAGTTGGTAGTTTCGTATAGTCGTGACATTCATTCCATTTACGTTTCGTCTCACTATCCACTTTCGTCATCACCACGTGAATCATGATTGTATCACATATCTGTTCGTGTGATCCCAGTGACTTAAGCGAACTATATAAAGCCGAAATGTTGTCCACTAATTGGCGAAGTTGAGTCAAATCAGGCTTAATACATTGTGGTTCATCAAAAAGTGTTGCAATGCCTTCCAGAAATATGAGAGGGTCATTGTCGTATCGCTCTTTGAGTCTTTGGAGAGCCTTCGGATAGTTGTCTTCCGTTATCTGGAACGCTTTTACTGTAGCTAACGCTTCGCCTTGAAGGCACGATAACAAATGGTTGAGTTTTTCAGTTGATGTCAAGAGCGAATCACTATCTACAAGGTTTTGAAAAATATGTATAAAATTTTTAAATTCAAGATATTTGCCGTCAAACTTAGGCAACTTTAAATGTGGCAATCTGTTTGACGGCAGCTGCGGTAACGAGAAAGTTTGCTCTTGGTAGCTTTGTCTCCTCCGTCCCACAACTAATGACAATATTAAACATTTTGTACTTACGTACAGCTCATCGATGTCAGAGCGCGCTGAATCTGTTGGACAATATCGCTCTATTTGATTCTGGTAGTAAGATACCTGCTTATAATATGCATCTAGCATCCCAAGTCTACACTCCAATTCCGTTGACGATAAAGTTTTGTTGTTCTCAACAATATTTTTAATTTGCGTTATACTGCCTTTTGTAGATGCTCGCTGCTGTTTTAATTCTTGTAATGTAGGCAGTGGCGGCAGAGAATTTGACGCTGCAGTCGAATTGTTTTCGGCAGCGCTGCTCGCTGCTGCATTATTAGAATTTTGCATCACCGAAAGCAAATGCAAAACCGAAAATAAAACAAAAAAAAACCAACTAATGTTATGAAGGTTAATAACCTGAATGATTGTCAAGGTTATTGTAAAATTGAACAACTGTTGTTTATTTTTAAGTTTTAAACAATTACTGATGTAAGAAACTATTAATATTAAGTTTTTAATATTAATTTGAAACACCTTTAGTCTTTATTTATATCAAGTCTTTAATATAAATTGAATTTAATTTGAAACACTTTTAGTCGTCATTTATATCAAGTCTTTAATATGAATTGAATTTAATTTGAAACACTTTTAATATTTAATTTATCTTAAGTCTTTAAAATAAATTTAAGTTAATTTCAAACACTTGTTTCTAGGCACACTACGGTCGTGTCCTGTCACGGTCGCCAATGATCGAAAACTATTTAATTTAATAGTTTTTTCAGTTCTTTGATTTTATATAAAGATAGTAAAATCCAAATGCACCTTTTTTGTTGAGAGGTTCACGTACTACTGATTTATTTTTAAAACATATTATTAATAATAGCAAAAACAAAACAAATGGAAAGCTGCGGCTATTAAAAGCTTTTTTTTGGTTGTAAATAAATGTTAAATAATTGAAATTAAAATAAGTATAAGGGTACCCAATTGACTTAACAGGAATTATAATTTTGAATATTTGGGTTACAAATAGAATTTATTGTAACGATCCTGGAGAGGTTGAGGACACCCCAGCAAATCGAAACGACCCCTAGGAAGAGTCGTTTCAACTTGTTGACGTTCGCAATACTCAAAATAGATATGTTACATGCCGTGTCCTTCTTGATAGTGCGTCGGAACTAAGTTATATTTCGGTGCGATGTGCTCGGGCCCATGGTCTACCTCGTTCACCTTCACGTATTGCTGTGTCTAGAATTTCTTCTGTTAAGGCCGAGACTACACGTGGCTGTTGTACACTCTATATGAAATCAAAGGTTTCCCAGAACACACTAGATGTAAGTGTTCATGTCTTGAGCAAGATTATATCAGCAATTCCTACATCACAAATCAATACTCATACTAAGAATCAACTCAAGGACTTAAATCTTGCAGATCCATCTCTTAATTCTTCAGCACCGATTGTTAATTTGATTGGTGTTGACAAAGTTTGGAAAATATTTACTTTTAACAAAATTTTCGACTCTTCTGGTAATCCTATTTCTGTATCAACCATATTCGGATGAGTGGTGACATCAGTTCAGGCATCCATTGATAATGTAGTATCGTTTCTTGTAAGTACGATTGATATAGATCGCTCGCTTCGAAAATTTTTGGGAAATCGAAGAAGCCTTGCATCCGTTGCCATTAGACGCAGAAAACGTACACGTAGAAATTCATTTTTTAGAAACGCACGCACGACACTCGGACGGCAAATATATTGTGGAGCTTCCATTCAGGGAAAAGGTATCAAATTCGAAAACACGCTTCAAGGGGCTACATAAAGGTTTAATGCTGTTGAACGTCGCCTACTGAGGGACAGTCACCTTCGTAAGCAATATATTGAGTTCATGCGTGAATATACTCGCCTGGGACACATGCGGGAACTTAAGCCTAATGAGGTTGTTGCCAGTGATGGCCACAGTTTTTATATGCCGCATCATCCAGTAATTGGACCAAAACTTCGCGTTGTTTTTGATGGCTTATTTCAAGATACTAGCGGAGTTTCACTTAATAGTACGTTGCATACAGGTCCAAGTATACAACGAAATTTATTTGATGTTTGCCTTCGCTTTAGAATACATAAATATATATTCTCTGCTGATATAGTAAGAATGTTCCGCCAGATTTGGGTATCAGAAAATCATCGAAATTATCAACGAATTGCTTGGGAGAAGATCCGTCAGAAAAACTAAATCATTTCCAATTATGTACGGTTACTTATGGTACATCATGCGCACCATTTCTCTCTGTGAGGGTCCTCGAACAGTTTGCAAAGGATCACCAAAAAAGATAGAAGAAAACGTGACGAACTATTCAACTTTTTGCGAAAGCAGGATTTAAACTTCGAAAATGGGTCTCTAATTGTAGTTCCTTAACCTCTAATTTTTATGATCAGTCTGATCAATGTTTTTTGAAGGATGAGCTAGACGATATGATGAGGGTTTTGTGTATCTATTGAAAGCCATGCGAGAACGTAGTTGGATATAAGGTTTGCTTAGATGAAATTCCAAAATCAACTAAGCGACAAGTATTATCAGACGTATCACGGATTTTTGATCCATTGGGCCTTCTTGCTCCTGTTATTGTTCAATGCAAGATCTTTTTCCAAGAATTATGGGTCACTAATTTGAAATGGGACGACCATCTCCCTTCTAATCTCGCTGAAGTTTGGCTAAAATGTCGTACAGTCTTAAATAATGTTGCAAAATTGTCATTGCCAAGATGGGTGTGTAACTCTCTTAATTACATTGAGTTACATGGATTTTCGGATGCCTCAACAAAGGCATATTCTGCAGCCGTTTATTGTCGATTGCAGAATAAGGATGGGGATATAAGGACATCTTAGTTCAAGAATGTGAAACGAAGCTTATGGAATGTGCTCATTGAAATGAGGTGACGGTCATGTGGGTTAAAGGACACATCGGTATTGAGCATCGGTATTGAAACATTGGTATTCCACAGAGCTTAGTTCAAGAATGTGAAACGAAGCTTATGGAATGTGCTCATTGAAATGAGGTGACGGTCATGTGGGTTAAAGGACACATCGGTATTGAGCATCGGTATTGAAACATTGGTATTCCACAGAGCTCAGAGCCCAGAATACCATTAAGTTACAACATGACGGCAGTCTATGTGTATAAGATAATCTCACTTCATCTTAATAGATGGAGAGAGTTGAACACTTGTAGACAGACCAAACTCATGTTACCGAAACCGTAGGCCAGGGAAGCGATAAAAGTACTTAGCTATTCGCGGAGCACTCTAAGCTGGCTGACCTCACTAATTGCTGGACATGGCAAGTATCACCTCAAAAAGAGAACTCTTGCTGAGGAAGACACTTGCAGACTATATCCAGAAGAAAAGGAAACTGCCGGGCATATATTGTGCCAATGTCCAGCACTGGCAAGTAGGAGGACGACTGTCTTGGGACACCATTGGGTTGGTGATGACTTGGCAAGAAACCTCAAGCTAAATGAGCTGCTTGCATTAACAAAGGTGTAGTTATGCGAACGGAACCCACTCCAGCTTAAACTCAATAACAACATCCGAGTATCGAAGGACGAAAAAGTACCCAAGTAGTTTCGTGATCTACTTCGACTAATCCTTCAACTCAGTGGGGCCACTTGTTGGACAGTGCGCTCTTCCAACGTCCCACCATATATATGGTGGAAGGGGCCTCCCTGGTTAGCGAACGTAACTACTGGTAAGTCCTTATATAATAACGATGATAATTTCCTCACACATTCAGAAGAAGATGTAACCGCTGAAATGAAGTGTACCAAATTAAACCTAGTCTGTGTGGAAGTAGCGAGGGATAATAGTTTAGAAGGATTGGTAGAAAGGGTCTCAACATGGAAGAAATTATTGCGAATTGTATCATACATCGTACGGTTTCGTAGGAAAACGCATCTCCGATATGTTCAGCAAGGCCGTAAGCAATCTACTTTTTATGCATTAAATTAAGCTGGACTAATTTGCTTACGACTTGCACAAACCTGCTACAAGGAAGATTTGCTGCAATTAAGAAATAACAGGGAGCTTAGCAGAAGATCTACCTTATTCAAACTTGCCCCATTCATTGATGATACCGGAATTTTACGTGTCGGTAGAAGAATTACGCATTCAACGTTAGATAAGAACACCCGTCATCCTATTATACTCCCGAAGGAACATAGAATTTCCACGTTAATCCTACTCGATGAATATCAGAAATATAATAAGGAGGTTAACTCATAAATGTCTCATTCAAATGTCTCTTTCGCCAACGCCAGCTAATAACACAACAGTTCATGGCTTATCTACCAGCAGTGCGGGTTCGACAAGCGCATCCCTTTGAAAATACTGGGTGCGATTACGCTGGGCCCTTCACATTGAAATAATATAGCGGAAGAACTGCACGTACCTTCAAGGGGTATATTTGCTTATTTGTTTGCCTCGTTACATCTGTCATACACCTCGAACTCGCTAGTGACAAGTACTAATTGTTTCCTAGCAGCACTTCGCCATTTCATGTCCCGTCGTGTGTTCTGCAATCCTTAGCGATAATGGAAGGAATTTTTTTGGTGGTTCTCGTGGGTTAAACGAGATGTGTGCAGCAATTATGTCACAGTCTCGGAACGAAATCATTTCCGCGTCTTTAGCAGAAGACAGAATCCGATAAAGTTCTATTTCAGCACATGCACCACATCGGGGTGGAATCTAGGAATCGGCAGTGCGATCAGTCAAGTTATATCTACGGCGCGTAATAGGCAATGCAGTGATTACCTTTGAGCAGATAAATACCTTGCTGACACAGATTGAAGCAGTTGTTAATTCTCGCCCCCTAGGCACTACATCAGACCCGGATACTAATTATCTTTCTCCTTCTCATTTTTTGATTGGTTGCCCGTACACGTTGGTTCCAGAAGGCGACCTAAGTCATGAAAACGTCAACAAATTAGACTACTGGCAGCACATATAAAATATGATTCAAGAATTTTGGCGTACATAGTATCGGGAATATTTAACATATCTCCAAATCCGTCCAAAATAGTTTCAACGGCAACCAAATATAGCTGTGGGCAACGTAGTGATCATCACGGAACCGAACATACCACCAGCAAATTAGCTCATGGCTAAGGTGACTGAAATACATCCTGGTTCAGATGGGATCGTTCGAGTCATAAAACTTCACACTATTCAAGGGGAGATAACGCGACCCATTACGAAGGTTGTTGTTTTACCTATATTCTGATACGCTGTTTTAGGGTCGCCCGGGATGTTCGTAAACCAAATACGCAGCACATTGGGATTGCACATTTTTGAACATTTGT